TTTTGTTACTGTTTAGTGCGGGACTGGTCAATACAGGATGTTACCATTCGAATTCTAACAATGACTTCTCATATTATGAATAAATATGAAAAAGGAGAGTTATCTATTTTTTTTTTTTTTCAGAGACGCATATCTGCTGTTTTTAATCATCATAAATTTCAATAAGAATATTTTAAATTTTTTTTTTTATAAAATATCTACCTATTATAAATTAAATTAAACATAAAACACTGTTTGGTTCACACCTAGATGTTGCAAGACAAAATACTTGTGTATATATATGTTGACATGCATATCCTCGTAAACAATTTACATGCGCATACTGTTGTTTCTTATTAGATGAAAGAATCATCGGGAAATAATATTAAAACAAAATCACAATTTTCAAAAAGTGATGATCAAGGGTTTGACGGATATAATATGAAATGAAGTATTTTTTCTAGAAATTGTAAGAAATTCAGAATCTGCGGCAAATTTAGATAAAATCGAGGGTTGAAGAAGATGGGTCAATCATCAATGGATATATACTTATATAGTGGTGGAGAAAGAATAAGAAGAATGATTTAAAGACTACCCTCACAATACGGCAGAGAGTTTTCGTCACTTACGTTACTTTTGTTTTATCCTACTACTACTAAAAGACGTTTCAAAATAAAAAATTTTGGGACGGAGAGTTATTATTTAAATTAGAATATCTAAATACTGTCTTCTAGTATCGAAGAGATTATAAGGCAAAAGTCTGGAACTTGAACGGTTTATAAAAACAAAACAAAAATTATAAGCTTATTTCACTCATATAGCATGCTTAAACTCTGTTTTTAGTTTCATGTTATTTATGAGTCTGTTAACATTAGACTATTCAATGTTTATTATTTGTGAAATTTTTTTCACTTTCACGTCATAATAATGAGTTAAATATTATGATTACTGTATATTCTCCAGACAGCGACCGTCGAGGTAGAGAGTTAAAATATTGCTAATCGAAGAGAGGAGGAGGAAGAAGCAGAAGATCTACGTCAACAGGGTGACTCACATGATTTATCTCTCCATGACCTTCAAATCTCGACATGCCAGATCGATGCATCTTGGATTGATCATGGTCCGGTCAATGGATTAGGGTGGTGCCTAAGAGACTATACGGGCCTCTTTACTTTCGGCATGAGAGGATGTAGACGAAGCATCTTGG